GCTCTTTAATGACCTCGATATATGCCTCCTCGATAACGTACTAGACTGAATCACTAGTCCTGATTGTTTCAGCAACTTTGATAGAAGCATGGATGTCCACAAGGATCACGGCCATAAGCATGCCAGGATAATTGGACATGGGGTTTCCTCCGTTTCGGCACAAATTTCCATGATACCTAATTAGAAAAACGCATGCATGCCATGATCAGTCCTCGCAAGAGGATAAACTCCTCGCTACGACGATTCGCCAAGACATATGGCTACAGTCATATCCAAACTCTTGTGAGCTGTCACTAGAGATTTATGCCACGTCAAGTATAAATCAAGAGCTCATGTGTCAGTTGGATAACATAACTCGGCCAACCGTTGAGAGTGGGTAGAAACGGGATGGACAGGAATACAACCCCCGGGCCGGTCTCGCACTGACTCTTTATTAGGTAGGTAGGCAGTGTAACGGATAACGGATGGTCAGGTTGAAGAAAAACAGAGATGCTGCTCTAATAGTTTCCTCGTTCGCCTACTCCTTACAAGCATTAACCTCAAACTATCATAAAGGCTCGTTTAAGCTATCCCCAGAAGAACTCGTCAGACTCTGAGAAAGCAAACTAGAGACTCGATTACATGACTAGCGGCTCTCGATATGTCCGTCAACTTCCTGATCAGGTATACCCGCTCTGAGCATGAACCATGTCGCCACTTGGCTGAGAGTTCGAGAACTTTGAACATGTGCGCACTAGTTTCTTCTGCATGGCGATCTGCCGATAGACTAATAAGTCGACATGTACCTACCTGACTGGCTAACTGTGTGATATTTCTGTTCCTCTACAGCCGTTTCAGTCCCCTTTCCTGCTTTTTAACATGCCAGACATTGATTGAGATAACGACTTATATGTACTGTAGGTAGTCGTCAATACGCAAACATTGCCACCACTACTCGCTACACATTCATTCCCTACCCTTGTCGTCGACTTGTTCCAGAACAACCAGAAGAATCCGCCATCATGGCCAGCACATTGGGAGACCACGATGGCTCCACGCCATATTATAGAGTTCCAGGAACCGCTAGATCTTCAACGGCTGCTTCGACGACATCTTCCTCCACAAGAATTGCCCTCTTCAACTCCCTCACTCCATCCAGTACAGCCCTGGTCAGCGAGTGTGTGGATACACCATATCGCCCAATTCCAAAAACCTTAAAGATATCTTGGCAATGGAACAAACTACGAACTTTCTTTCTCGGCAATGATGGCTGCTCAAAGATGTTTGCTGTATCAGAGCACTCTGGGCTTTTTGGCCGAAACTCGGGTTCGCCTTGTCTTCTCCTCCACAATGGACCAACCGGAAAGGACGAAATACTAGCAGCAGCTGGCGAGACGCTGCGGGACGGGTTATCTGATCCAGGTGTTGTAGAGAGTATTGTCAATATATCCGCAGCCCCTGGGTCAGACATCGATACAAGGGTCGCCACTGAGATCGTACAGGCACTATACGATGAAACCGAACAGTGCGTGGTATTCCGATGGGCAATAGAGACAAAGCAAGCAGAGACAGTCCAGGACTGCAGCTTTATTCGGGAAGAATTCGAGTGGTCTATGACGCCGCTTCAAGCGGCCAAGGATCCTAAATACTGTCACGAATTCAAGCTTTATCGAACTGGAGATATGAAGGCGCCATTAGAATACCTCGCCATGGCCTCGTGGAAGGAGGCAGCATGGAAGACATGCAAGATTGAGTTCTCTGATAAAGCAATGCAGCAGAACTTTGGTGATCGGTGGTCTCTTATGGTGGTCATGTCTGCCTTGAGGATGTGGCAGCTCGGTCGAACAGGACAAGCATCTTTGGAGTATGTATCGAACTGATTGGATACTGCTCATTTTACTTTGTATCTTAGCGTTGTTGTTTTTGCCAAAAGTAGAATCGCACAAAAGTGTGTAACAGAGATTATAGATTTAATCATGGCCACATGCAGTGCAAGGCTGTGAACACGGCGATAGGATTGTCTTCCACTTGCGCTTTATTACATGCATCGTTGCTTCGAGAACATGCCCCTTATGGAAAGAGTGAACAAAGAGAAAGAAACTCACATCATCAATACACGGTGAATCGTATTTCCATGCAACACAAAAGGGAGTTTGCCTTCTTTTTCAGGTCTAGGTCCATATGTGTTTCGTAGGAGATGATCTGCTGTATGTCCATCTGTAAGGCAGTTCACCAAATAGTATCAACACGATTTTCCATATCCATACGGGTCCAGGAACATTCATGTAGCGATGCTGATGTCTCAACGGATCCAGTTGATCGGTGTCGATTGATGAGGCACATATTGAACCGCGAAGCATGAACATGACAGACAGTAGAGTAATCAGTCAAACCCAGCCCCTTTTTCTAAAGACTCAGTTCAAGGTGATTTAGACCTCGCGTTGGTATTCCATAAATCCTCGAATTGCATGTGCCAAGTGAGGATACCAGTGAAAGGCACCATCAAAAGTCTCCAAGTGGTGGGATCGCACTCGTTGAAAATCATCGTCGCAACATGACAGTCGGCATTCCCTCAGATCATGACCATTACGCAGCTCCAGGAAACCTCAGTCCATAAAAATATGAAGGGCATTTTCTGGATCAGAGTTCTTTTTCGAGTCTAGCCAGCTCCCCATCAATCACAGTCGCACTTTAAACCAGCAAGGTATCCCCGAATGCATCACATGGGAAATAGTACTTCGTTATGCCACAATTGGCGAAACCGGCTGTTGTTGGTATCTGAATTCGGCTGTCCGGCTCGATGGACAGCTCATGTCTGCATGACTTATAAACGTACACCGCATCCAAACAACCATACAACCATCGTCCTCGATTCAACCGTTTAGTTCTTCTTGTCCTGCTGATCAAGGAAGTTCCTGGTATCGGGTTAGTCCATGAAAGCTCAGCATCGTCGGGTGAATTCGCGCACTTGATGAAGTCAGCCTCGTCGGAGCTGGAGGCGTTGATGGGAGGAGTAGCGGTAGCAGTGGGCTTAGAAGAGCCGCCAGAGAGTGCAAGCTTGGTACCGACGACGAGAGTTCCCAACCAGGCGATGGCGAGCTGTCATTCAAGTTAGTTTCACAAGTCTCCGGTCTGCGGCGAGCGCAATTGAGGTTGAACGAACGTGGTGACCGGCGACCTGCTTGCCAGCAATGGTGTAATAAGCGATACCAGCCATTGTGAATAATTAGACAAGACCGAAAAGGACGAATTAGGTGATGACAAAGGGCAATGGGTGGATGTTCGATTGTCGCGGTTGAGATAGTTTGCCGAGCTCTCAAATTCAACTTAGAGCTTGTGCCTGGAATTACAGGCCTAACCCAGAGTGTGCGGTTATTCTCCGGATTATATCGCTGATCGGGATCAATCGGATCTACGGAAGCAACGTCACTGACCCAGGCTACCAGGGTTGTCAACTTTCTTGCAGCCATTCCAGTGGGTACAGGGAAGGTAGCGGCGGGCCATCAAAATGGAAGCTTCTACTGCTCTGAAAGCTTGCTGTCGCATCCTTCTTTTCTCCAAACAACCTCACTAATTTGTTTTTGGCCTTCTATTCAATCTTTGAAATGTCTTGGTGGGGTAAATCAAAAGACCCCAAGCCGGAGGACAAGAAGAACGAAGCAGCTCAGATCAAGGACACTATCGTTGAGAAGCTTCCCTCAAAGGACCAGCTACCAGAGAGTGTTCAGAAAGCTGTCAACAAGACAGGAAGAGACGGAAATGTCTTTGACGACATAACCGATGGCTAGTATGTTTGTCTTCGTGAATGTGTAACACTAGCTAATCGAATATAGTGGCCCCGACTCAACCGACACCAATTTTCGATATGCTGCCTATGCCACGCGAATTAGAACAATTCTTTTATCTGCGCATCGATACGTTGCCTACACTTCGGACATCGGAGAGTCATTTCGCCCTGTAGCTCATCCCAATCTTGTTCGCGCTGCCTACGGTGTATCCTGGCTGTATCTTATCGGCGATGTCTCGTACGAAGGTTACAAGTCATACTGGCACAATCAGCGTGTGTTGAACCCTAAGGTGCAACTCTCTCCTCGACAAGAGAAGGTTACCGGCCTTCCTGCCACCGAGACACGCCTGATCGAGCCGGGTACGGTGCCACCGCTCGAAGACTATCGCACTGTCATGGTCCAGCGCGCAATCTTCCAGAGTGTCGCCAGTATGGGACTGCCCGCTTTCACTATTCATAGTGTTGTGAGGTATTCTGGCCGAGCCATGAAGAACATGAAGAACCAGGCCATCAGGACTTGGGCTCCAATTGGTCTGGGCCTCGCAGTGGTTCCCTTCCTCCCAGCTATGTTCGACGAGCCTGTCGAGAACGCGGTTGAATGGGCGTTCCATAAAGGATTCGAGACATTTGGAGGTAAGGCCGCAGTCGGCAATGCGCCTACGACGGGTCGCGAGGATTTACTGGCCAAGAGGCCAAAGGAGAAGGAACTGTAATACAAGGCTTTGCACCACAAACTTGGCGTTCTGGAATGTGGAAGGCGCGCAACTCATGATTTAATGTTCGATCAATGTATAGGAATATTGTTTGCGACACAAAGTCGGTCACTAACTTATACCAATCCAATTATGCAACAGAACTCCGTGGTGGGGAGCAGACCCCGCGATGAACCTGGGCCCTGGAAGTGGCTGTGCGCCGCCAACAGAGCTTATAAGTCATTAACGAGCCTGTGATTCTTACTCGTGATTTATGTACATGATTCACAAAAGCCCGACGGATTCTTGGCCTGTTCTTCGCTCTACTGCAAGCGCGCCTCATTCATTTTGTCTTTTGACGTGTCAAAGCTTGTGGCACACTCGTTCGTAATCTGCCAAGCTTGGTCATACGCGGACCCTTCCAGACGTTTCCTCGCCGCCGCCTTTTGGATCTTTCATCTTCATACGAGCACTTGCGACAACACCTCTGCCTACGGGTAACACCAACTTTTCAATATTTTTCAATACGAAACATCTTCACCATGTCGCCATCAAACACGCCAGAAGCTCGAGACACCAGCTACGTCGAGATGCACGACAAAAACGAAGCTGCGCTGATCGGCAAGCACTGCGAATATGACTACTGCAACCAACTCGATTTTCTCCCTTTCTTCTGTCAGTCATGCCGGAAAACATTCTGTCTCGATCACCGAAGCGAAGGGGCACATAAATGTACAAATCCCGGTGCGTGGGCGGAACGAAAGCGCCAGAGAGAGCTTGCGCAGCCAAGCATTGGACAAGGAAAGATTCTAAGGGACAAGGTGTCCCAAAAGCCTTGCGCATCGCCCGAATGCAAGACCACAATCGGCACATCTTTGACGCCTGGTGTACATTGTCAAACGTGTAACCGAGATTACTGCCTGAAGCATCGTCTAAAGGAGGACCACAATTGCAGTAACCTGATACCCATCGGAGCTCGGCCTATGCAATTCGATGTTGGTCAGAAGACAAAGACGGCATTCGACAAACTGCGCGCATGGGGTACAGCAAAGAAAGAGCAAGCTGGCAGAGCTTTGCCCAAACCAAAGCCAAGCTCTGCCTCGGCACGTATCATTGCTGTAAACAACCTGAAGAAGACAGCCAAGGGCGACGACAAGACACCTGTCGAGAAGAGAGTGTATATCTATGTGGAAGCTGAAGCAGAAACAGCAAAAGCCAAGTTTCCCAAGGGGGAGTTCTTCTACAACAAGGATTGGGTTGTGGGCCGAGTTCTGGATGCTGCAGCAAGGAGCCTGCAGGTACAAAACATCAACAACCAAAGCTCAGATGAGAAGGACAAGCTTCGCGTCTTCCACGTTGAAGGAGGCAGAATTTTGGAGTATAACGAAAAGGTTGGAACGGCGTTGCAGAGTGGAAATACTGTGGTTTTGTTGCGTGGCGTTGGACCAGCTACCCCAGACCTGATTGAGGCGTGAGCGTTGTTTTATGGAGTACTACCTACCTATAGAGATGCATGGCCTGGCGTTGGGCAATTTGATACCAAGAGTAATGATATCAATATTTTTGTTTACTGAGAGAGTGGTCTCATACTCTATTCGTGGTTTTCAATCAGTTCATCTGTGTTCCAATACGAGAGTGAGAGTATCCAATTGCCGTCGAACATCCTCCTACAGTGATTTGTACGTCTTCTACCAAAGATCTCAAAGTCAAGAGCCCTGCAGGTGTTATTTGGTGAATATGAAATCTTAATTGCATCACTTAGATTTTTGAACAAATTACCATTTTGCTTACTGATACGATTGGCTTCACACAAGTTCATGCTGCCTCTTTAATCGAACCACGTGATTGCGCGTCTGCCTCCCGTGCTCCCATCTTCTATGACGAAGTACCCACCACGCTCTAGCTCTAGTCTAAGCCGTTCCTCAAGCTTGAATTCATCCTGCTTCGCAGAATGCGACAATCTTATTTACGATATCAAGATGCCTCCTTTAGTACCACGCAAACGCTTGCGTGAGTCGCCGCCACCTGGAGAGGGCAGATCATCAAAAGCAGTCAAAGAGAAGCCCGATTCATCACGTCGCAAAGCAACACTGTACGATGATTTGGACGCATCCGCGACACCTAACTCAAACTCGATTCTGCATGGATTTGGAGACGACGACGATGATGATGAAAGCTCTTTGACATCATTGTCAGAACATGAATTCGAGGATGTTGTGCCACCGAATCAACCGAAAGCCAATGAAGCGGACTCTGAGGATGATGAAGATATTGAGTTTGAGGATGTCCAAGCACCAGTCGCACCACTACCGGACGCCCCGGTAACATCCGGGGACTTGGAATTGACACTCACAAGGGACACTAGAATCTCACTCACAAATGCGTTCGACAGAAAAGGACCCTCAAAACGTGAGAGGAAAGTCCGGCATGCTACACATTGCGTTCACGTCATGTTACTTTTATGGCACAATGCTACCCGAAATGCATGGCTTTGCGATCCCGAAGTCCAGGCGACTATGATCTCTCATCTTCCTCCAAGACTCTGGGACGAGGTGGATCGGTGGAGGCGCAGCAGTGGTCTAGAAAAGAAGCCGACAACAAAGAAGCCAGTAAAGGAAAACGCAAAACCAAAAGGTAAAGGCAAAAAGGCCCAGGATCGAAAGGTGCGCGACTGGGGTGCAGAGGCTGAGATATTGGAAGAAGGGGCTGTTGATATGAGTCATGGAGACCCCCTATTTCGACTTATGCAAACGTTGTCAGCTTGGTGGAAACAGCGTTTTCGAGTCTCAGCTCCAGGGTTGAGGAAATGGGGATACATGTCCCTTGAGCGATTAGACCGTCTTACGAAAGCGCAAAAAGCCGAACCTCACGACCCAGAGCAATTTGGTGAGAAGATCTCAAATCTAGAGGATTTCAGACATCATGCGCGAACATGTGAGGGGAGCAGAGATGTAGGCGCCCAGTTATTTACAGCTTTGCTTCGTGGACTGGGTCTCGAAGCACGAATGGTCGCAAACTTGCCTTGTCTAGGCTTTGGATGGAATAAGCTTGAGGAGGCCGAGCCAGAAAAGAGTGGAAGCGCGGACCAGAAACACGAGACACCCGAGAAGAAAACGAAAACGGCGACAAAGAGCGCGGCTGCGACAAAGAGGAAGAAAACGAAAGAGCCCACGAGAAATCCGACACGGAAAACAAGACCCAAAACTGAGCTTGAAAGCGATTCAGATGATTTGGAGCTTGAGTATAAGGACACTGATGATGAATCTGTCGTTGAGATGGATGTCACGCCAAGGAAGACATCGTCCAAGACACCGACCAAAAAATATGACGCCGACATGGAGTTCCCGCACTATTGGACAGAAGTCCTATCACCAGTCACTAACAAATACCTGCCCGTTGATGCTATCGTCAAAAACGTGGTTGGAACAAACCGAGATCTCATCGAATCATTGGAACCTCGTGGAGCAAAGGCCGACAAAGCACGTCAAATCATGGCATACATTGTGGCCTATTCGCAAGATGGAACCGGCAAGGATGTCACAGTCAGATATTTGAAACGCAATATGCTTCCGGGCCGCACCAAGGGAGTGAGAATGACACCAGAGAAAGTCCCGGTCTATAACCGTCATGGAAAGGTTAAGAGATATGACCAGTTCGACTGGTTCAAGACCGCAATATCTGGATATCTGAGAGGCAGCAAGGACCACCCTGTGACCGAAGTCGATGAGATGGAAGAAGCAACGGATCTTAAGCCTGCCAAGCCCGAAAAGAAGGAGGTCAAGGAGGGCCAGGAGACATTACAATACTACAAGCAGTCCAAGGAGTTTGTCCTCGAGCGGCACTTGAAGCGTGAAGAAGCTCTCAGGCCTGGAGCCAAGGGTGTCAAAGTGTTCAAAAACAAGGGCAAAGGTGGCAAGGTCGAGGAAGAGGATGTGTTCCTTCGTAACGATGTTCTGAACGTCAAGAGTGCTGAGACCTGGCATAAGCAGGGACGCGCACCACTGGCAGGAGAGCAGCCATTGAAGAGGGTACCCTACCGTGCAGCTACGATAAATCGCCGGCGAGAAATCATGGAAGCAGAAGCTGCCACAGGACAAAAGGTTCTGCAGGGGCTCTACAGCTGGGAGCAAACCGACTGGATCATTCCACCACCGATCAAGGACGGCGTTATCCCCAAGAATGAATACGGGTATGTAGCCGATTGCTTCCTCAAACCCGAATATACTAACCGAGCCGCAGGAATATCGATCTGTTTGCTGAACATATGTGCCCTGAGGGTGCTGTGCATGTACCCTTCCGAGGGGCTATGCGTGTTTGTAAAAAGTTACAAATCGACTATGCGGAAGCCGTTGTGGACTTTGAATTTGGTCACCGCATGGCTGTGCCTGTTATTCAGGGAGTTGTAATTGCTGAGGAGAACCACGACATGGTGATGGTAGAGCTCGAGAAGGATGAGGCAGAACGTGCGCGAAAAGAGGATGAGAAGCGGCGGAAGAAGTCGTTAGCTCAATGGCGTCGCTTCCTCATGGGCATGCGTATTGCAGAACGAATTCGACAGGAGTATGGCGAAATAACTGATGAAATATCAGTGTTTGGACATGCTAGAGACTCGGTCCACACTAAGAAGCAACCACAGGTTGAGGATGAAGATATGGCTGGCGGGTTTCTTCCAGAAGGGTATGTGGAAGAAGAGGAGGAAGAGGAACCCAGGGCCCACCACACTTCGAGCTTCTTCCCTGCTGTTGACGAAGACGACGACGGCGATGATGGACTAGTGATGGAGCACGATGGTGCAGATCAGCAAAGAGTGATGATGCAGATGGAGGTCGACAGCAAACAAGAAACGGCCCCGGAATCGCAGGCCGAAGCAGGGTCGGAGTCTGAAGCAGAGTCTGGATCGGTCAACGCAAAGTTTAATGCAGGGCTGATGGACGAAGAGGAAGAGGAACCCAAACTGGATTCGCAATCCGAGGCAGAGTCTGAGCCGCCACAAACGAGTGCAAGGACAAGGAGGCGAGGCCCAGCGAAAGTGGCCAAGGAAAAGCCTTCAGCTGGACGTGTAACGAGACGGTCAACACGGAGCGGACGGAAAGTTGTCTCGTACGATGAAGATGCGATGGAAGAAGAAGAAGATGAGGTTGGAGATTCATATGCGGAATCTGACGGCGATGCGTAGGATCCGCCCCTGAGCGGCTCGGCTCAATGTAATAATACATGATAGTAATGTGATAGTACGAATAATGATAATACCTATCAGTTGTCAGTTTGCAGGGACGGGGAGTATCCGTTTGCGAAGTTTACAAGCTAACGAGATGAGCATTGCCTCTTGGGCCGACAAACCACGGATCTTTGCATTGGTGGTTTGATGGGATATGAATTTTGTGTAACTAGAAACTGATTTGTTTCAACTACCTTAGTTATCTTAGCTAGGAGAGGACAGACAGTTGAAGGGAAGGGAAGGGGAGGGATCTCATACAGCATCATGTAAATAGGTAGGCATTCCTCAGCATTTTGCTGTAGACTAATGCATTTACTCCTAGAGTGTATGGATTATGCGAATAGACCTTGCAGGCTAAAATGATAGGCAGATAATTGATCTGGCCAGGAGTTGTTGGGTTGTATATTTAGCTGAATGACCAACTGACAACCCCTCATTCATTTGGCCATCCACATTCATCCACATACATGTATGCATGCATTTGGAGGAAGCCATCTCATTTGATTGATTTGAGTGAGTGAGTGACTCTTTGATCCCCTTCCGAAGAAACCTTATACGCCACAAACGCCGTCGTAGCTGTTGCTCTGTTGTACTAAGGCAAAGCAAGCTCTAGGTGCAGGCTAGACGACCTACCTAAGGTACCTAATGCTACCATTCATTCAAATTGCATGTCGCATCGTATCATACCCAAGTGCGACAGCTTATTTATCTACCTACCTACCTATACAAACCAACACATTGCATCCATCACGAGACCCAAGGTTTCTTCCGTCATCTTTCTTTCAACTTGGGCTTCTTTATCCCTTGAAATTACCTACCTACTCACTCCACCACCAAAGACTGGACTCTTCTCCTGCATATCTCTGTCGAAATTCGTAATAAAATCCAATCAAAGAGTGTTGTAGCCTCTATTGTTCTATATCTTGGCTTTTGTCGTCACTCGCTCATCCACTCAGCGCCCATCTCGTCGTCTGACTCTTTTTACTCCGCATCTCGTGAGCGTCTACCTAACGTTACTTTCTCATGAAGTTATACCAACATTATGAATCTTGGACCCCATGGTTGATGAATTAATTCTCGAAACATATCGCGACATCTGGCATATTGTGCCGCCCTCTGACTCTCTACTTACTCTTCAACATCTTCTTCTCCCAGCCTACATAGTTCCTTATTTCGTATTGTCAACTTCCATCTCATTGTTTGCGAACCTCTTCCCTATTGAAACGAGCGGGGGCTTGAAACGAGGCAGCTTCGAACTGTGATAGTGCGATCACTGAACAATCGATCAATCAATCGCTGTTTATCCATTTTCCATTTTCCGATGGAGTCCTGAATAGAGCACAAAGAAGGGATAGAAGGAGCTGGTCATTCATTCTCTCTCTCTCTCTTCCCATCTGTTATGAGCGAGAAACCCTAGACGCCTTTCAACCTTCTCTTCTCTTCTCTTCTATCCTGCATCGTCTCCAAATTCATCCATCCATCTTCAACCGACGTCGAATTAATCAACCTCAACAACACGACACGGCATCGATCATTCACCTATAGCGAAACGAAATACAAGCGATTAGCTTACGCACAGCTTCTACTGTGTCGAACATTCACTGAGATACCTACAGAATCAGCATCTTGTCGCAGGTAAGAATATCGAGGTGCTTCTATCTCATCATGTTCTTGAACAAACAAACAACGAAACAAACAACAAGCCAAAACTTTTCTTCACGCCGCAAAGTCGCGGGCTGGCTTCTCGACTTCCAATTCCTTCGACATAAGCTTTCGTGTTTAGCCATGGCGTCATTATCACCACCACCGACGCCGCCCTTGTCTCTCAGTCACGGCGAATCTTGATTCTCATTTGCTTTGCGCCCGAAGCTGTTTCGGGTGAGCCGTGACAAGTGGAAGAGGTCATCGTCTCGGAGTGAGAGTGAAAGTCAAGGGTTGGTGTGAAAGTACGACGCCAACATCTTGTTACTATCCATACTTATGTGACAGTCGTTGCAAGTGCTGAATCACTGTCTCAATTAACTCCTTCTGTTCCCCACTGCCACCGTATCTTCCCTTCATTACATATGCTTTTGCCTAGCAGAGAATCTATTTGTGAAGGGCATCTGCTCGAACAGTGTCAGCTGGCGGCAGCACATCGTTCACAAGCTCTCGGAATGGAAGTGATACAGATCGATCCACCTCCAGATCATAAACAACACCCAGGGCTCTTCGATGCTACGAATTCTTGTCTTCATCTCATTTCTAACCGTTATCATCAAGTCTAGGCCTCAACTTTTGTTCATAAACAAGGAGCCAAAGAACTTGACCATCACGAGGATGGAGGATCCCGAAACCGAGACAGAAGAATCATCTCCGCCTCTACAAGACACTTGCATACAAGAAGTAACTTCTCTGTTTCCCGACATCTGCCTCGAGTATGTCAAGACGATTGCTGGGCCTCTCTCATTCGTCCCCCACCAAGTGATCAATCATCTCCTCGATCTCCAAGAGTCTGGGCAAGTATATCAAAAGGCAAAGCGACCGAAACAGGCCATCGGCAAGAGGAAGCGCACAGCTGAGGGACAAGATGACGAAGACGAAGATAAAGCCGAAAAACTACAGAACAGACTCTCCGAAGCAAAGCGCAAATACAGCAATCTCGAAGGACAAGTCCTTGCTCCCAAGAGTGCCCAAGTGTCCACTCTGTAAGTTTATCTCCCCGTCGACCGCACATAGTCCGTGATCAGGTGTGTGGCTTTTGGTGACAGAGCTTCGTGCCAGCATGGCCGAGATTCGGGCTAAGGGCTGTCCAGTTAACCTTTTACACAGCAAGCAAATGATCGCAGGGGATTTCCCACTGGTGCCAGTCAAGGTCATTCAAAAAACCCTATCTGAAAACGGAAATCGTCTTTTCCCAACATTTAATGTCATTAATACTGCCCTCAATGAGGCAAGCGAGCATCGCCCGTTACCTTGGAAATTGAAGAAGACACCCTCAGTGCCGGTACCGCGATACAAAAAAGACAGGATCGACGCGTCCATACAAGCCTGCTCTAACGAATGGGAAAAAGAATTGATGAAGGAACTCGAGGCTGCTCGATTACTGCAGTTTGACGTGGCTGAAAAGCGTCGAGCAGAAGCATTGGCCGAGGAGGCCGAAAGGATGAACCTTGAGTCGGCAGATGCAAGAGGAGAAGTAACCGAGTGCGGTTGTTGCTTTGCCGATACTCCATGGAACAGACTCGTCTATTGTCAAGGCGAGGATCCTCACCCTTTCTGTATCAACTGCGCCCGCCGACACGCAGAGACGCAAATTGGCCTTTCAAAGTACGAACTCGAATGCATGTCCATGGTCGGGTGCACGGCTGGATTCTCCTACAGCGAGCGCCGGAAGTTCCTGAATAAGAAACTAACTGCGGCAATCGATCGAATTGAACAAGAGGCAAATCTGCGCATGGCCAAACTGCCCGACCTCGCCAACTGCCCCTTTTGTCATTATGCAGAGGAGTACCCGCCAGTCGACATCGACAGGGAATTCCGGTGCCGAAATGACGACTGCAAAATCACGAGTTGCCGGCTCTGCAACTACGAAACACACATACCCAAAACCTGTAAGGAGGCAGCCATCGTGAGAGGTGTCGACCGGAGGCGGGAGGTAGAAGAGGCTATGTCAAGAGCCCTCATCCGCACATGCAACAAGTGCAGCACCCCTTTTATCAAGGAAGAAGGCTGCAACAAGATGACTTGCACCCGCAAAGGCTGTGGTAACGTTCAGTGCTACGTCTGTTCTAAGTCTTGTGACTACAATCACTTCAACGATGAAAGTCGAGGTGGCAAGCAAGGCAACTGCCCCTTATTCGAGAGTGCTGAAGAGCGTCACGAAAACGAAGTCAATGCGGCTGAAAGGGCAGCGAAGCAGAAGGTCCTGGAGGAGAATCCAGAGCTTGCAGCAGTCCCCGAACTCCTGAATTTCAACATGTCTGAAAGGGTTAAGACCGACGATATGAGGCGGAAAAGCAGGTTTGGACACAGATTTAGGGATCGAGTCAATGTCATACCTGTACCGCATCCACCCTTCGGAGGGCAAAGGCCATTTGTCGATGTTCCACAACCGCAACCGCAACCACAACCACAACCACAACCGCAACCACAGCCTCAGCAGCCTCAGCAGCAGCTGCCACAGCTGCCACAGCTGCCACCGGCACTGCAGGGACTGGCACACGGCGCAAACCTTTTTCGTCAAGAAAATCATGTGCTGAGGGAAGCCCAGGTGCAGGCACATAGAGGAATCCGATATCACCTTAAGAATGCATTTGATCGCCTTGGTAATAGAGTAGCACCACCTGCGCCGGTACCGCAAGCACAACACATGGCAGGAATACCGATCCAAGCACAACAACAACAACTACAACAACAACCACCCCCGCCACCACCACCACCACCACCCCAGGCTGGAGCGTTCCCAGTGGCACCAGGAGATCCGGGCCTAGCGATACCAGGGTTACCGCCGTTTAACCTTCAAGGAGCGGTAAATTTTCATCCATTTTATCCGTATCCGTACATGATGGGTCAACATGACCATATGGGTAACTGGCGGGGCCCCGGGTAGCGATGAAAGGGCTTAATAAGTGAAACGGGTTAGTTGAGAGGACAGACAGGTGTCTGTGTAGAAACTTGACGGCGCAGGGAACCAAGAGCAACACAGCGAATGTGACCATCATGTACTCTCTGGCAAGCGGTGCAAGAAGTGGGAAGACCAGGGAAATAAATGGGAGCAAGGTTATGGATCCAGGAGGGCGTTGCATGTATTTTGTGGGATAGTCTCATTTACTTCATGGACTGCGAGACTGGGGTATTGGTCATGCCGTTAGACGGCGTTAATTTCTCTCAACAAGCAATCAAAGTATACCATAATATTCATATACCGCCAGCCCACTACCTGTTTCTCCCGAATCGCTCATGCCACTTCCCTTTGCCACCACCAAGTCCTTTCGCAGTACCAGCAGAAGGCACGTCAGGAACAGTATCAAGCTCGACAGTTTCCTTGATGGTCGAAATGATAGAGATGCCCTGCTCAACAGGTCCACCCGACGATGCAGGCAGAGGCGTAGGTGAGAGGAGCATGAGAGCATTCGAAGTGTTCTTCTGACGAAGAGCATATGTCTTTGTAGGCGTTTTGATAACAGCTGATGTATCAGAGGACTCCATGGTCAATCTGACTGATATCAGTATACGTAGTACTTGTGAGAGGAGCGGGGGTAGGGGTTGACTTACACGGGTGCATCGTCGGATTCGAGAAGAGATAATAGGTCCGGAGGGAGTTCGATGAGGCGATAGTTTGTTGGGGAGGGGTTATGTTGGACTGTGATACCGCCTGACTGGCTTGACATTGTGATGATGGTATGTTTCGGGTGATTGTGGAGGTTGAAAGAGCGAGTGTTTGGTGTAGGAGAGAGGAGGGAGGAGGGATGTATCATGACACGCCAAAAGTGAAGTGGGCATCTGGGCCCACGTGAAGATGTCCCGCTGGAGTTTGGAGGCTGAGAGGAACGAGTTACACTGATGGACAGACAAACTTTGCCGAAATGAATGATAAATTGATAAACAATTGTTCTTATGACAACTCCGTATAATTATGAGTCAGGATATAACCAGATTGCCAGGTAAAGACATATGCTTACCTACTACTAATATTGAGGATAATCTGTCAGAGCATCTTATCCGAGCTGCCACTCTATCATGACGGACGAAAGACGGAAGTGAGCATTCTTTGAGAATGGCTATGTTATAAAATGTATACTTGATCGATCATATAAATAAAAGGGAATATATGCTACAAAAGCAAAGGTTCGTCGCTTCAAGCACAAGATAAAAGAAGCTTAAATTGCTTTTGCTGACTTGTTCCCCTCATCAGGGTCGATCAATGAGCAAATCTCACTCTCACAAACAGTACGACAATGCGTAAGATGCTCAGACCCAACTCAGAAGGAATGTGTACAACTGCCAATCCAATCTGTTTCAGTCATGTCAGATTATAGCCTCAAGAAGGATTTAGCCACTCTTGCTATGTAGCGTACAAATATGTCAAGAGTACCAGCCTTGCTATTTTCCTCCTTTCTTTTCTCTTCATCTTAAAAATGACCATCACTCATTCACACAAGCCTGAGAGAGTCGACGTGGTTGTCGTCGGCGCAGGCCTTTCTGGTCTTCGCGCCGCTGTCGATGTCCATGGAGCTGGCCATTCTGTTATCGTTCTTGAAGCTGGCGATAGAGTTGGCGGCAAGACTCTGAGCGTCGATGCCTCTCACTTGGGAGGTAAAGTCGATCTGGGCGCCGCTTGGCTCAATGATACGAACCAGAGCGAGATTTACAAGCTTGCGCAAGAGTTTGGATTTGATCTGATCGAGCAGAGAGCTACCGGATACAATCTGCACCAGGATGTAACTAGCAATGTTGCCAAGATAAAGCATGGCACCGGAATGCCTGTACCTCCGGATGCAGCTGATATTGTTCAGAAACTCCTTGAGAAGCTGAACAAGTGGGTTGACGAGATTGACCCAGAGAACCCTTCAGCTCATCCCGAAGCCGAGATGCTGGACTCTATGACTTTCAATGAGCTCGGCGTAAAGTTTCTTGGTCCTGAACTTGGTCCTGCTGTTGCTGATTCTGCTACGAGTCCTCTCTTGGGTGTTGGGCCAGATGAAGTCAGCGCCTTGTTTATGGTCGACTATATCCGCAGTGGTACGGGCTTGGACATCATGGCTTCTGATAAGAAGGATGGAGGGCAATATTTGCGCAACAGACAGGGTCAGTACCTCAAATCTACCATGGTAGTGAGCCTTTAGCTGACAAGAAACAGGCAACCAGACATTTTCGATCCGCCTAGCAGCAAAGCTCCCAGAGACGGCTGTGAGACTTCGCAGCCCCGTCAAGACAATCAAACAAGGCTCTGATGGTGTCTTGATCGAAACAGCCAACCCAAAGCAGAACTTCCGAGCCAAGAGGGTCATTGTCTCAGTTCCCACGTGTCTCTACCCTTCTATCAATTTCGAGCCGCCGCTACCAGAGAGCAAAAAGACACTAGGCGAAAGCACTGCACTAGGCTGTACGTCTAAAGCCATCTTTGTCTTTGACAAGCCGTGGTGGCGCGACGCTGGTTTCAGCGGCATCATAGAATGCGAGACAGGCCCAATTCACTTCTCACGAGATACATGCTCACCAGAAGACGGACAGTACAGCATCACCTGCTTTGTCGTGGGTGACAGAGGCAGAGACTGGTCCAAGTGGTCATATACAGAGAAAAGAAGAATCGTGCTCGAGCAGTTCAACGGAGTCTTCAGTGGTGTCGGTGTAAAAGCACCCGAACCTGTCAATATCATCTTGCAGGAGTGGATCAAGCAGCCCTGGATCTGGGGTTGCCCGTCACCGGTGATGATGCCGGGAACGTTGACGAGTGATAGTGGGAAAGCATTGCGTGAGGTGGTTGGGAGAGTGCATTTTGTAGGTACTGAGACTTCGTTGGTCTGGAAGGGGTATATGGACGGTGCGGTGAGGAGTGGGATACGGGGAGCCGAAGAGGTTATTCGGGCTTTTAAGGAAGAGTCGGCAGAATAGCCACCTAACAACTGCGCCGGTAATTTTTCTTCTTCTAGTTATTTTATAAAGGAGAATGAGACACGGACATTCTTTGTTCGCATTTTATAGTTCATTCACAGTGAGCTCATATTCCTTAGCAATCATATAAAGCCCGAGGCTTATCTGTTGTCCGATATAGGTACTAAGCTGAACGCGTCAGACGCGGTCTACAGAGTATGGAGACTTTATATCGGCGGGGCTCTCTCTCTCTCTGTGTCTAAGTTTAGCGGTCAATGCCTTGGAATTTAGCAAGGGAGCTCCCGCTGATCCCCGCCCAGGGCATGGTCACCATTGAATTTGTGTTTGACCGCTGTTGTTGAGATTAGGTTTTTTGTTGTCCAGGCCACCGAGTTTATTTGGGACACAGCATGTAGAGAAAAGGTCTCAAGAGCAAGAGACTACTAAGCTTGGGTACTCATTAGTGTCATGCTAGCTGCAGCCGTGAATAACAACAACAACAACAGTAATGATACAATCTGATTCAGTAGCAATGTTTGTTATTCCTATCACGTGTTGTTGTTGTTGTTGATCAACTGTTGGTTGAATGCTACATCAAAAGTGAATCTGTGTGACGCACGATCGTATCGTATCGTGCTGGGCTGGGCTGTAGGGACCTGACCTGTAAAATTTAGTGGGTTTCCTTTGGGCTCGGGCTCCAGCTGGGCCCGGCGCTGTTGGTGTGCTAACCTAACTAACTAACTCAACTATTAGTTAGTGTGTTTACTTTCGAAACCGGTGGGGCCCACTTGTTCGCTTGTGTTCCCGCTCCCGATTCTGGGCCTTTGTTGACTCCCGACTATGGCCAAAGCTCAAACCTCCAAAACCAAACCCTCGTCTTTGTCTCTGCTTAGGTTGTCTTGCCTTGCCTTGTCACATTTTCTAATCCTAGCCAATTTTTTTTAATTTTTTTTTAAATTTTTTTTTGCTCTCAACGACCCCCTCTACGAAAACTAGATCGACTCTGCCCGCATGCGCGAATCTCTGTGTCCGTGACGAGGGAGGAGGCGACTCGTTCATATCCAAAAGGTCTCTCTCGTCTCTCTCTGTCTGTACTTTAGTTAGGCTTGAGTCTATCTTGGACTGGGCCATTGGTTCATCGCTTCTCATCGAATCGCTCTCCATCTGCGGCCCAACTTGTAGACCACCGCCCATTAAGTCAGGTCAATATCGACGTCAACACACATCGAGTCCCTTCTGGACCAACGGATTTAATCCTGACACCGCGCCATGGTTCGCGTTACCGAGGAGTTGGCGCTGTCGTCTGACAATGTCACTCTATACCACGCCGCAGATCCATTGCTAGGCCATCTTCCTCTACTACTCTTCCATGGGCCCTCGACTACCGCAAACTACACCCTCAACAGTTCTCGAGTCCAAGTCCACGTCTTCACCCCCGCCGGCTTCCAGAGCTTCCCTCGAATCACAATCTCGCCCAATTCTCCATTTTACGGTGTCGTCCACCATCTACCCCGCGAGTTTCAGGGCGATGAGGTCTACCGCGCTCTGGCCTTCGCCCTCTTCAAGTACTTCACAGAGCTGCCCGATGGCGTAAAAACATACCTCAAGAACCTGTACCCTACGCGAGGTCGACGTCCAGGCAGTGCTCCTACTCTGTTCAGCGAGCAACATGCTGCCGAGATTGTTAAGGACATGGTCCAGAGCGACCACGCAGCCGACATCATCGAGACATTACAAGATGCTCTGCAGACACAACATATCAGCAATGTCGACCTCGACTTGGTTCTCCCACCAGGCGGTATCGTGCCCCTCCAAGCCGCCGACCTCGAGGACGTGCCCGACGACGAAGACGATATCCTCGACCCAACTTTGCGCCAGTATGGAGGTTACACACCGCTGATAAAGCTATTCGGAGAGCCAGTCTTCCTGCCGACTAGTCGCTTACGAAGAGCGCCCTCCAAGCCGACCGCCTTAAATCGAAGCAAGTCGTTTCTAAAGGATCAAAAGGTCGAATTGCGCATGAAGCTGACAGAATTGGTGGAGACCGAGGAGCGGTATGTGGGTAAAGTGAGGGAGCTGGTGAAGCACGTCGCAGCCGATTTTCGAGAGAGCGCCCAAGCGCGAGCTCCTGGTAGTCTGAGCCCTTCCGAGGAAGAGTTGGAGAAGCTCTTCCCCAGTTCTGCAGATGGCATCCTTCAGGTCAACTCTGCCTTTATGGAGGAGATGCGGAGGATCATAGATGACACCGAAGAAGAGGCCTTGAAAGACATGGAAACACCTACGATGAGCTTTATGGGTTCCAAACTGGGCCGAACAAGAGACCCAAGTGGTGCTCTACAAATCGCCAGATTATTCTTGGAGTGGTTTCCAAAGTTCACAGAGTGCTATCAGGATTATATCAAGGCCAGCCAACATTTCCCCACGTTACTCAACTCTTTCCTCGACCAGCAATCGAGTTTCAAACAGAGGGTAGCTCAGGCTGGTGAGCAGACGATACGCTCTATTCTTATTGAGCCCGTCCAAAGACTTCCTCGTTATAGCTTGCTTATAGATCAGATCGTTGGCTGTATTCCTATGACGCATCCCGCCTTACAACCCATGTTGAAGGCGCGAGACATCATTACAAATATCTGCTCAATGGATGACCCCTTACCCGACAAGCCTCATGTCGCCAATAGACTTCGAAATATGGTTGAAGCCTGGCCTTTGAATCTTGAACCGCAAGGACGCCTCATTGCAGCCGCCGATTTCACTGAGTTGGCACCACCTTTCCAGCCATTGCTCAACCAGTCGGATAGATCTGGAATCTTCCTACTCTTTTCAGATTGTGTGGTTATCCTCAAGAAGATGAGCGGGAATATGACAGGACGAGAGCTTCTTCGTGAGATCGAGAAACCCTCAGCCGCCGGTCTACTTATTTCTATGACCAACGCAGCAGGAGGTCCAGCGGCATATGAGTTCGTGTTTACAGGGTGGCATGATATAGCCGACGTGCGGTTTACTGAGGCAGTAGACGGAACACTATTCTGGATGACTTCGACGTCAGAAATGAGAGGAGCTCACCCAGGCGAGCACCGCATCAGTAAGGCTGTGACATCACGATGTTTCCTTTTACAAGAGATGTACGAAGCCAGAGCCGCCAAGTGGGGAGAGGATGTGGTCAAAGCGAGAGTCGAAGCTCGATTCTCGGAAAAAGAGCGAGAAGATCCAACCTGGACTCTACGATCAGCGCGAATGCCAGATAGCAATCTGGGACTTCACGCTGCCATTTTCCAGGAGGGTGCCGACCAACTCATCGAGGGCCGCAAGGAGCCTGCCCCGATTCGAGTGGTCGTCGATCATGACAGGGGCACTAAAGGAGCGCCTGTAGGCCACTACGGTGTCGAGATTGTCGTGAATGTGACCACGAACGATATGAAGAAGGTTTCGATGCTCACAGTTGGGCTGAATGGGAGGCAGTTCCAGGACGAAGTTGCTCTGGAAGACTTCCTCCCAACAATGTCAAGACGAGGTGAGAATCAACACGACAATCCCTAGAGCCCAGAGCTAACCAGCAACAGTTATTCAACTATTAAGCACGCAACACAGTATCTCCAATATGCAATTGACGGCACCCCTCGTTTCTTATTACTCCAAGACACTACATGGACTCTTACTCAACACAAGAGCGGAAAAGACCAAATCATTCCTGGCTTCGTCTCCTGTCAAGCTCCTCTCCAGTTTCTGGGGAGGCAGTTCTGTACATATCTCCGATACTGCAAGTCTAGGCTCAAAACACAAGCAGGTGCCTTCAATACACCGAAACAACAGCCAAGCATCTGTTGTCAGCTCAATAAGGGGAGGCAAGGACAGTGTATCTCAAGAGGAAACAAGGACCGAAAACCCATTAGTGCGCCTAGAGCAGACGTTTACTGGATATGTTGCTGCACTTCAGTCCCGCAAGGGTCTTATTATTGGTCGGACATTGCTACAACGCTCTGTGGTCGATGAGCTGTCTGTGAACGAACTATATAACAGACTGATTGAGAGCCCGTTTGACGTCGATGCCGCCGCCGATCTAGGCACCGAGGTCATATTTGTGGCTTTCGAAAAGTTCCTTCGCATTGCTTGGACTGATCAAATCGGCCCTGTCATGTCAATGCATTCCCTCGATACGCTCCAGGCGCGGGTGAATAAGAGAGTGCCTGGAGACTTTGCGGACTTTGTTAACTTTTTGTTTGGAGACATGGCACCACAGAATCGTCGGGCTTTCACTGCCCTCATCAAGCTTTTGGCCAATCTGCTGGACGGGTGTGGCAACGATGGTGACAGGGGAGCGTTGACACTTGCTTTTGCAGAGCTGCTCGTCTACGATGGAACAGCTCCTAATTATATCAATCTTCTCGATCGTCTGGTGGAAGACTGTGATCGAATCTTCGAAGAACCTGGTTTAAATCACAGTTTCAACCTCGACAACTCAACATATGAGTCGATCAACTCGGCGATCCGTGGCAAGGGGTACACACCCTCGTTGGCCTCAAACACTTCATCGCTGCGCCGCAAATTTGGGTTCGACAATTTGCTACGGCAAAATAGCAGAGACGAGAGACCATCAGTATGGCGACAACTCAGTAAGCACAGAAATCCCGCCACAGGCGAGGTAAACAGCTTATCTAAAGCATCATTAGGCCGTTCAAGGTCTATCGATGACAACACACTGCCCAAAAAGCTGTCGAGACGCCCAGGTTCCAAGGATCGTCCGCCCATAGCAGGGGCGTTTGACGAAATGCAAAGGCCTGGCAGCTCTCATAGGTTATTGGAGACAATCGGTGAGCCGGAGACTGAAAAACCACTGCCACGGTCGCCCAGGAGGAAGCGGCGTAGTTCGTTATCAGACCTCAAGAGTCTCATGGCAGCGACTACACTCGATGACGACGCTGAATCACCTCAACCGCTTCAGGACGCGAAGGAAACATCAGAAAAGGTCAACGCGAGCCCCAAGGCGACATCTCCGTCTAGAATACCTGTTAGTCCCGGTGTAGCGACGTTGAGAGGTTCCAAGCAGAAGGAGAATGTTCCAGATCCGTTTCAGCAAATTATGTCGCCGAATACTTTGGCGCCCAGTCCCATGGAACTTTCAGAAGAGCCAACACGACGCACATCACCAGCCAAAGGTCACAGGCACTCAAGGACCCTATCATCAACTAATATCCCGACACTGCGCCCCTACCGCTCAGCGCCTCCAGGATCTGAATCACCACCCCGTCCAAGCTCAAGTCCAACCAGGCGAGGAACGCAGAAACTCCGATTGCAGTCCCCGCAAAAGCTTCGAGAGCGGCTCAACACCGAGAAGCAGGCTGTCGACGACGTGGACGCTTCTCTCAGATCTGAGCTGTCCAAAATTGGTGAGGAAATGGCACGAGTCAACAATACACGACCTCCGGGCTCCCAGTCTGTCGATATGAGACGAGTCAGTGCTGCTGTTCGGGAGTTGGAAGACCGCATTCCCACTGCTATTCAGGAACTACAAGACAAGCAAAATGCGATCCAGCGCGATATGGAAACCACGGTCAAGGCAGCCGAGGCCAAGGTGCGAGCGATTGACCAGCTATACAAGGAGGCAGTGGCAGAGAACGAGTTACTATATGAGAAGTTCAACGGAGAGCTTGGCAAGATAGTCAAGGCTCTCAAGGGCAAGGGCAAGGACGAAAAGGAAGAGCTCATGATGAGACTCCGCGACCAAAGCGACGAGACAGCGCGGATGAAGAAGGAGAACGCGCGACTGAAGCGCGAGATGGTGAGTCTCCGCGCGGCGCTGAAGGGGACGACGGAGTAGGCGCTGCTGTCCTCTGGGAGGCTGGCAGGGAGGCTGTTTGGGCGTTTGAAAATGATTTTGATGGTAATGAGTCAAGGTATTTGTCATGTTTCCACGGCCGGGCTGTACATAACGCGGCGGGTTCTGGGCTTTGTCGGAATAGGGGGTAGGGTCAGGGTCGCATGGAACGGACTGGTCCAGGTCTGGAAATGGGTGGCCGGGACAATCAATAATGGATTGATGTCATGCTTATACAATATGAATTAGAGGTTATGAAGAGTCATGATGACGATAATCTATCTGTTCAAAGCTGGGTGTCATATATGTGAGGTTTATGAGGTTGTGGGTTCGCTTTGTTCGATCCAGCAATTAAAGAATAAAGGACCAGCCTGGACAGAGCGAATTGCTGTTGTACTTTGACCACCAAGAGAGGACCCTTGCTTTAATGAGGTGTCGTTTGGTGGTTGAAGGTTGGGTTGAGATGGTATCCAATGTTGAGGATGCTAGGTCAGTGTTAGTCAGTCGAAGTTCATCTCATGACTGATATACTTACACCTATGGGTGCATTTGCATCGTCACGTAGCTCAACGGCAACAGTAAAAGTGCTCCCTTGAGGTAAATCGGGCATCATCTCCGCCTTCTGTGCTACTCTCCTCAGAGCACCCCTGAGCGCCTCATTGACATCGGTCCAGTTCACCACACCATCATCATCAGCCTCCACCAACGCAGGGTTGTAAGTCGCCTCCTCTCTATCACCCCACCCAGCGGGAAACAGATCAACATCAAAGACCCATCTCTCCAACACATCAAAAGTCTTTGCAGCATGCATCGCAATGGCTATACGACGTACAGTTCCTTTACGTAGCTGTGCTGCTACTGAAGCTACAGCGTCGTTTATCCATGTGCAGAGACCGGGATGGCGGGATTGATGGACGGGGAGATTGAGGGCTCGAGCCGTTAGAAAGGTTGTTTTGGGGTAGAGAGCGCGATGGTAGAGGAGGGTGTGAAGAGTTAGTGTTAGGAAGGTCGTAAATGATGAGAGGAGACGGGATGCTTGAGAGGCGGGGATTAAAGGGCCCGTTTCCATTTTGAGGTAGGTTGAGGACTATAGAGAAGAAAGTGGTGATAGTAGAAATTCGTGGTTTGGAAGATGGGACGTGGTGGGACGCGTTGAGTGGAACGCGATATCACGTGAATGTCGTCATGAGAATGATCTCTCTATTAACCTCAGTAGGCACCTGCAGAATGATGAGTCAGGCAACTCACATCATGTTGAGGTTACTCAATGTTACAAGTTTTAGACTTCAGATTATTAATCTCTAATGCCTAATTAATGCCTTATCTAGGCAACTATTCCTATACCAATCGTGTTCGTCGCTTTTAGCATTTAAATCACTGACACTGCCCCGCGATACCCAAAAGTTAGGGATCCACATATAGGGCTGAAGAGGCAGCTATTTCATGACGCCGCTTCCCAAACTTTGTCAACGTTAACTCATAACCTCCATCTTCTCCACTATCTATCTACTAATCTTTAGCAAGCTACCTCTTACCTACTCCACTCGTCAACTACAACATCAAAAAGAGCATCACAATCATCGCCCTTCATCATGTCAGAACCTCTCAGTGTCGCCGCCATTCTAAATGGCATGGCTGATGCTCTACCAACGCATCCCCCCAATGACGATTCATCTGACCTCGCCTCATCGTACGAAGTCATCGCTCTCCTCGTCCACTCATATCTCGCTGCTCTAGGCTTCAAGCTTCTGGGTTTCGATGAGGACAAGAACATGCGTAAGTTTACAATCCATTAATACCGTGACTTGGCTCACATGAAATAGCTGAATGCGAGTCTCTCGCTCCTCGTCTACCCCAACAATGGAACTCAGGTTTCGGTTCCTACAGTTTTGTCTACAAGCACAAGCAATCAGCCATGACCTTTAGCATCCGTATTGACCGCATGGGTAAAAAGGTCGAGGTTCGAGGAGTAGCCGTCGGAGATGATAACATCCGTCGTTTTGAGAGGTCGATCAGCGACGTTGTGGATTCTAAGAAACTCCCTCTTCGCATCACCATCAAGGACGGCCAGGAAGATCGAAGTGATCTTCCCGAGAAGCTCCGCGGTGTCTTCGCCTCTGAGCAAGCTATTGCTGGTATGTCCCTTCGCTTCTCTTTCATGAGCATCACAAACTAATCCATACGGCCAGATATCTTACATGACCTCAAGGTCAACATTGTTCAAAAGCTCATCCCAAAACTCCAAAGCGAAGGATATGTCGAGACAGCTGAAGCCGAAGCCAATGCACGCTCCGAGCGCCGTGCTCAAGAAGCTCAGAACCCAGACCGTCCATTCCGTGGCGATCCTGTACCACACCCACACCCGCTTCAACCCCCAGCGAATCCACTCCCTGAGATGGCTCGTCCACGGCCTGCACCAGTGGGCGACTTCCCTCCTCCCGGCTTTGAGGATGAGTACGAGATGAACCGGCCTCTACGAGGCGGTCTTCAAATGCCAGGAAGATCGCCCTACAACATCGGTCACGACGACTTGAATCCTCCTGGCCTTGGTCCGCACGATCCTCTCCGTGGCTCGTTCATTGGTGGAGGACTACCCCGTCCTGGTGGTGGCTCAGGGATGCATCCTACTTTCGATGATCCTTTGTTCGGCGGGCAAGGAGGTGACGGTTCCTCTGGTTTCGATCCTCAAGCGCCTCCAGGAGCCCGATGGGATCCCACTGGCCCTGGTGGCAACCCGAGATTCCCTGGTCCTGGTAGCGGGAGGGGAAACAATCCCTTTGGTGGAGGTTACGGTGGCGGATTCGGAGGAGGCTTTGGCGGAGATATCATCTAGACGGGAGAGGAGCAATACTAATCAATGGCGGGTGTACGCTTGCTTCGGTAGAATGATGAATGATCTATTCTATTCTACTCAAATATTTCATTTTTGACTTTTCCATTGTGATGTTTCATTCCTCGTTAACTCATACTATCTCTCTCTCTGCATGTCAAATAGACCGCCCCCTCGAGAAGTAAGAAACATCGGACCGTGATATGGTGTGCCAAAATATACTTTAGCAAAAGTATCCTAAACTTATCCCAACTTTAGTAGCTAACTTATACTAAGTTGCCTAAGCTTATGCTACGTTACCTATGTTTTTTCTTTTTGTCACTTAAGGTCTCGAGTTTTCTTTGCACCTTTTCTCTAATTCTATCTCATGACGGGTCATTAATACGGTGGGCTTCTCTGATACTTTATTCCTGCTTCAGTGGCCCTGTCTTCTCCTTCAAGCGGCACATCAGATTTGCAAGAGCCATGGTTTTTTCCTGCAGTCGGGAAGCAATCTTCTTCTCGAACTTCCGACGAGAGGAGCGCTCTCTCTTCTCCTTCTTCGAAGACTCATTGTAAGCGTATGCAGTTCCAGTCTATTGTCCTGCTGAGCTAGCAACCTCGTTGAGCTTCGACTTCTCTTCTTCTGTAAGCATGTTGTACCATTCCTGAAAATTAGCAATGTTCTCGTGGCCGCAGCGGATGAAAAAGTCGGTCAGATAGGCTTGAGTCTCGTCGTCTCGCTGCCGCTGGCCACCTGACTCCATGAAGGACATCAGGTCAGCTTTCGTGGTGCCTAGACTGAGGTCAAGAGTATCATCTTCGTCCTCCCAGCCCTCCTCGTCGTTCTCGTCGTCAAAGCTAGCAGAGGCCACAGCAGCGGCGGCGGCGTTCGCAGCAGCCCGTTGGCCAGATGCAGACAGAAGCTCCTCGATGAGGACCTTGATGATCTTGAGGGAAGCAGGAACGATCGTGTACTGGTCTGGGTCTGATTGTTGGTTGGTTTTATTAGCTTGCTGACTTTCAGCGTATCGGGCGTAGATTGAGTCTAGGGTTGAGGTGGTTGAGAAGTCGTGGATGGTTGGATACATACTCTGCTTTGCGCGTGAGCGTGTCTTAATAAGCCCATCGTCGTTGTTGACGATCAGGTCGCCCTTGACTTGTGTCTGGGCCAGTCGAGGATCATTCAGAGAGTAAAGCTTCGATAGAGCAATGACGCTGGTGATTCAGTTAGCAGATGGCTTATATCCAGTTGCAAGCATATCCATACTTTTGCCGAATTTCATCGTATCCAGCAAAGTTGACAGAGTTCTCTAGCCATTTGGCCATGACGACCTGCAGGCCACTTTCACCATTGATCTGAACCTGGCTGAGGAACTCAACAACATCTTGAGCGCCAGAGAGGGTAAGTCGGGCGAAGACGAGAATAAGAGACTGGATGAAGGCTGCAGCTTGAGCAGTAGCAAGTCGGTTAGCGACAGCTTGCAGAAGCTGAGGTAAGAAAGGACCAAGGCGCTCCTGGCCAGCCTTCTCGACGAGCTCGGCAGCCAGACCGCCAACCTCGGAGGCTGAGTTATCCTCAATAGAAGGACCCAGAAGCCGGTCGATGATGTGCAAGCAAACCTCCAGACCAGAACGGCCGTTGGCATCTTGCCAAGCAAGAACTTGCTGATGATCATGCTGAAGCATCCACTTCACAACTTCAGATCCAGGTCGGAGGACCTCTCCCTCGGTAGACTCCATAAGGAGACGGTTTAGCTTAGGGAAAGTAGCCGCGACAAAACCTGCGGGGAGAGGCTCAGGTCCGTTCTCGGCCAAGACGGCCAATAGCTCGGTGGCAACCTAGTTATTGTCAGTGAGGCATGGAAACTGGTTCGTTGAGAGACTTACAGTGACCAGGGGATTATCCTCAGTGAGGTTGGCGACATCAAAGGCGCCGGTAAGCGTAGGCAGAAGCTTTGCACAGAGAGCAGTGTACGATTCAGCGTCAGAGAGATCAGCAACGATATCTTCAAATGCCTCAGAAATCAGCATAGTGACTTGGAAGTTGCTTGCGCCTAGCTTGGCTAGCATGAAAAGCAGATCAACCGACTTGACATCGTTGGACAGAGCGATGCGTTTGTCGAGAGTAATGGCAGCGCGGAGAGCTTCAGCGAGCGTAACGAGAAGTTCGTCTGCATCTTCCATATCACTAGGGTCCTTGTTGTTCATGTAGCTTTGGATAGCGTTGATAATAGGAACCTGCCTGTCGGCCGACACCTGGCCAGCGTTGATCAAACCCTCAACAGCCTTGACACAGGCTACCTGCACAACCTCAGACTCCTCTTGAGTGATAGAGGTGATAATGCGGTCCAGGAGCTCAACCGGGGTCTGGAAAGAACGGCAAAGCATACCCGCGACGAGATAACCTCTGGCGCGGAGAAGAGGCTCTCCGTGCCGGTTAACGGCATAGTCAACCAGGGAAAGGTAGGCGTGGGCCACTACTTCGGGGATTTCCTTGTTCATGTCTTGGAAGTCACTAACCAGCATGACAAAAAGATAGAGCGCCGCCTCTTGGCTCCGCCAGTCGGAAACCTCGCTACTAAATAGGGACTGTGTTTGACCAAACAGACCGTCAATGGCCTTCTGGTTAAACCACTCACCCATCTTGATCAACAGGTCCCCTGCAGCAGTTCGTGCGGTGTAGTTGGCAGTCACGGAGGTCTCCTCAGCAAGATACAGGGAGCAGTCGATATCCCACAAGTCCTCTTCTTCCCGAGTCACTCGCGAATAACCAATAAGCATGTTCATGATCTCCTTCATCCATGGAACTTCTGAAGCTGAGGCATGAGCATTGAGGTGACCGTCCAGCTCGGCTTGCACAGGAGGGGCTCTGAAGCATTGGTTAAGGAAGTCCAATTCCTCGAGAATGAGAAAGTCCAAGGTATATGGGAGGTTGTCCGAGTCTTCAAGACGTCCTTGGGCATCCGCTTCGATGTAAAGCTGCTCGTGCGGTCCCTGTAGAGTAGAGAGCTCTTTCCAGACTGCACTGAAGAAGATGGTACTTTGGGGAAGGAGCAGGTTAGGGAAGACGCGTCGAATTCGGAGGAGTGTCTTGACAACCTGAAGTTTGAGGGCGATAATATGGCTCCAAGAGTCAGGCTGAGATCCGCTCTCTAGGTTGGCCTCTGGAAGAGGGGTCTGTAGAACGGTAATAAAGAAGGGGTTCCATTGTTGAAGAAGACCGTCCGCAAAAGCGCGAACCTCCTTGGCGTGGTCCTCCTTAATCATATTGAGGAGATCAAAACATCCTCGGAAGATGGAAATAGCGAGCGCTCGGTGCATGGGCTTTCGGTTTTCATTGAGGGCGACTTCAGCAAGGGCCTTGGCAATATCTTGGGCCATTGAAAAGAACTGGTCCTCGCTCAAGCTCTCTTCAATTATATCGTTGAGTAATCGCAGGGCGCCGTGAAGCTGTGAATCGGTGCCGGCCGGGACGACGGAGATAACTGTGGGGAGGAGGTTTGGCCATTGCTCAGGGAAGTCGTGCACGGCAATTTTGCCAACAGCGTAACTGGCTGAGATCTTGACTTTGCGATCGTCCTCCGGGCTCAACACAAGGTCGAGCAAGACCTGCTTGAGCTGGCCTCTCGCCTCATCAGAGATAGGAATGATAGGTCCATCATCAGGCTCGTCGTTGCTCCAGTTGTTCTCGATAAAGAGTCGCAGGTTGCTCAGCGCAGCCTGACGGATGTTGGTATCAATCGAGGTGTGGGCGGCGATATTGGCGAGAGACAGGGGAAAGGCGGGATTCGTTCGGGCGCGCTTCAACTCGAGTTCGGCCTGTAGTCTGGGACCCTGTTCAGACAGCTGAGTGCTGGAAAGAAGCTGCACCAACTGGTCCTCCATGATTGTAACAGGATGGTATATACCTAAAAAGGTTTGGATGAAATGGGTAAAGAAAAAAAAAGGCTGAGGTTGGCGGGGAGAAAAGAAGGCGGAATTGACGACGATGGTGGGGGAAACAAAGTGTGGGTCTGGAGCTTGAGGCAGGAAGAGTCAAGGGGAGGAATCAAAACTTAGGACCATTATCGTAATGGAAGGGACAAAAGGACTTGAGCGAATGTAATGTAATTCGATATAATTCAATATAGTTTAGTATAACTAGTTCAATATAAATTAATATAATTTAGTATGGATTTAGTATAATTTAGTATAGATTTAGTAGGCCTTGCCTTACCTTGACCTAGGTATTTTTGGCCTAGAGATGAATTCTCGCAACTCTTCGGCACTCTCACGTCGATGCCACTCAGATCGCGGGGCAGAAGCTATTGGTTTATTCACGTGTCATCCCTCCCGTGCTGTTTTTCTTTGGACCCTGTGATGTCTGAACTGTAGCCTTGGCTACTGGACCATGACACTAGCAGAGTCTCGGAATATCGGCAGTCGTCATTGTTGACGAGCAGCTAGCTACCTCAGCTCTATAAATAAATACCAATTCCTCATGTAACTTCTCCTTGATGTAGGGCATCCAGCTTGTTTGGCTATAGTGCCCCTGAAGCTTGCTCCTGTTGTGGATGGTAACGCAGCATAATCGAGTCCAATCATCGGTAGTCTATACTTTTTACCCTCTTATGAAGACCCCGATTATGTGAAAAATCCAATAGCGACCTTCACGATGTTCTTTAGGATACAAGTGTCATACTCAAATCCAATTGGGCATTGAAAAGGCTTACCCTATGTCACCAGTTCCACGATAAAGATTGTCGGTTTTCAAGTGATTTATCATAGGATCTGGACACTCCTGGCAGCATACTCAGCTGACCTCGGTTTCGACTTCCAGTCTTCAAACTCTTTGCAGTTGTATTTAAGTCATGTCACTGAAGATATCTGATCAACTTTACACTGCGGAAACTCGGCCTGCAGGAGGACAGATGTCGTGGTGCTTTGTGTAAGTACTTTATTGGTCTCTTCCATCATGTAAAACAGCCAGACTTAGCCAATAAATCATTTTGTGGCTCAATTTCGGAGTGTTTGTTTCCATTATTCGAAAGAGAGGAAAAAATACTATATAAATCGTATGAGGTCGTTTATTCTACCCCATCGGGTGTATGAATTCACAAAGTTTGCGGGTCGATGACCAGACCTATAACAAATGCAGGTTTCGTTCTCTCTGGTGAGATTCCGAGACGCTGACGGAGTTGAGGTCGCGTCTGTGATTTCCATCAAGTAATACTTGCATATCAGACGCATTGACTGTCAATGTTCCTTGGTATACGAATGCCGATCCGAAACCGAAGATTTGCAATTACTGGCTTACTTTTCCGGAGAATGAGCTCGTGAGGAACTGAATCACACTATGCATGGGGCAGGGACTCATTGAAGCTAGTCTTGTTGCTCCTCTGCCTCGGTGTTACTTGGATTTCTAGATGTACCGGCATGACTCTGCCATCGGTTCGGCCATGTCAGTCCAGAATAGAGCAGACATGCCATACGGGAGAACTGAATGTAGTCCTGAAGTACATAATTTCACTTGGGAGGTGGCGTGTTATCTGTGACAAGGTCGCTATCAATATAACTATATGATGTGGAAACGGCGAACTTTCGGAGCAATATGAAGCTGAATAGGGTCATCGCGAGGCGCTGCCAGAAACGGGAACAAGGATTCTTATGCCGATACGAACCAGAAGGGGAACCAACGCATCGAGGTCCAGATTGTGAGGGTTGGACAGAAAGATTAGGCAATATAGTTTCGGTTGAAACCCGAAATGACCTACGTTATTGACAACGAGATCGCATTTCAGTGACTACTACGTGGATGAAGTTCAAGATAGTCCTGATAGGGCAGATAACTGCAGGCCTGGGCAATTTTACTATAAAAGAGAGGGTTGACTCGATGAGATCGAGTAACAGATTTGTTCTACAGTTCCAGGCTAACTCGGTTTGGGAAAGGCGGTGCGGTACCCGTATCTTAGAGGCATCGTTACGGTGATAAGGAAACCGAGTTGTCCAATGATATTGCTTCGTTTATGTCCGCCTGGGGTAGTCGACCCTCCGATAGGCTCCATGGCTCCTGCTCACATGGCGCTGATAGCAGTGGCCCTGTCGTTGCCTGCAGTTGCACTTTTCTGCAGAGCATCTTCTTAGGCCCAGAATTTCAAGAGGGGTACGTACTGTCCGTCTGCACTGCAAACCTCTGTTTCCACGTTTTGTTTCTCTGTTGCAACAAACCTAAACAACAGCAAATATTCAAAGTCCACCTTGGTACTCCGAACATCTCTCCCACACAAAGCGATATCGGGATCTTCCCAACTTCTACGTCAACATTACCCGGAAACCCTTTCAACAACCACTCATACCAAGTGTTGCTCCATGGATTTAGGGTCTTCTGTGGGGGCACCCACCAAAACACGACTTGGCTAGCTTGGCTTCTCGGGCCCCATTTTCGTATCCATGTCACTCGAATCATCTCTCCGCATCCGCGCATCGTTCTATTCTATGCCGAATAACATACGGATCATTGTATTATGATCATATTCGAATGGATACCTATGAACGCTTCGATTTTGTTGTTGCGTGATGGTCTTACCATGCATATCCTTCTGCTTCTCGAGATCTGGATATCCGAATCTGCAGGCCGTCACAAATTGGTCGTGTGCTCGATGAAAAGACAAACAACTACCGACCGGAAATGCAAAGTCCTCTCGCTGCCAACATGGGGAAGAATAACCTTTCTCAGCTTGACCTACTATGGCAAAAGTGGCCGCCGGCGAGGGTCCTTGCGTGGTATGTACCTTGCCGGCTAGTTATCTGCAACGGCTGGGTCTGGGGATGACGATCAGACTGATAGTGGCTGCTGCTGCTGGGCGCCGATAACCTCGAACCAAGATGGGGTCCGGTCTAGTTCCTCTTGTCAAAGCATCCGCAACGCAACCAACGCGGCATGTCAATCTCGAACCATCAAGTATAAATACTGCCTGTCACCCACTACGACCAGACTTTCCAAGACAAGCAGACGGTGGAGAAGTTCCAATTGGCCCCCTCTCATCCTTCAGCAAGACTACCATCTCACGTTTTTCCATCATTTCTTGTGTCATTGGATTTAATCCCAGTCTGCCAGCCCTACTTGGTGTCACCTACACGTCATAAGCACCTCGGATTAGGTCTGCCTGTCATAATACAACAAGTCCGTCTTCCTTTTTGAGTTTCTTCTAGTTCAAGCATCCGAAGCTTTTTGATACCCGTTACTGGCTTATACTTCCACCTCCCACCGAGTCATACACCTCAGCCATGGAGACCAGATCACGATTTAAGGTCTGGGCTGATAAAGTCGCCGTTGAGTCTGAACCTGGCTTGACCAAGACCCAGCTTATGGTATGAAGGCCTTGCAAGCTTGAGCTTTCCACCATTGGAGTGTATTGCACATTGCGATCAATGAGACCGAGTTGTACTGAACTCTTATGCAGCTTACGAACCATGATCTCAAACCCGTCGAGATTGAGCGCCGGCAATGGGGCCCATGGAACTTTGTTGGTTTCTGGATCGCGGATTCTTTCAACATCAACACTTGGATGATTTCATCATCCATGATTGTCAATGGTTTGTCATGGTGGCAAGCCTGGCTCTGTGTCTGGATCGGATACAGTATCACAGGTATCTTTGTCGCAATCAATGCGCGTTTCGGTGCCATGTATCACATTGGTTTCCCTGTTGCCAACAGAACCTCCTTTGGTATCTGGGGTAGCTTGTGGCCTGTACTGAACCGTGCTGCTATGGGTATGCTCTATCTTTCCCAACACAATCAGAATTCATTGCTAATACTTGATAGCCGCTGTATGGTATGGAGTGCAGGCTTACATTGGTGGTGACTGTATCTATCTCATGATCCGCTCCATCTGGAAGTCATGGGCCAATGTTCCCAACACTTTCAGCGAAGACTCGGGCACCGATACCGCCCACTTCGCTTCCTTCTTCATCTTTTGGCTTGTATCACTTCCAGCACTCTGGTTCCCTGTCCACAAGGTCCGACATCTCTTCACTGTCAAGGCATACGTTGTTCCCGTCGCTGGAATTACCTTCCTGGCCTGGACCATCTCGCGCGCAGGTGGTATTGGCCCCATTGTAAAGGCTGGTAATAAGGTCCACGGCAGCGACTTGGCCTGGGAAATTGTCAAGGGCATCATGTCTTCTATCTCCAACTTTGCGACACTCATTGTCAATGCCAGTGACTTTTCTCGATTTGCACAGAAGCCCAGAGACGCCCTCTGGCCCCAGATGATCACGATCCCCTTCGGTTTCGCCATTACTTCATTCATCGGAATCATGGTCTCTTCAGCTTCTTCTGTCCTGTACGAGGAGGCCATCTGGAGCCCCCTTGATCTTCTAGATAGATTCATTGACGATGGAAGTTCGGGCGAGCGATTTGGTGTTTTCTTCCTTGCTACATCCTTCGCCCTAGCTCAGCTTGGTACAAATATCTCAGCGAATAGTGTGTCGTGTGGCACTGACATGACTGCTCTTCTTCCTCGCTGGCTCAACATTCGTCGTGGAAGCTACATCTGTGCCATCGTTGGCCTGTGTATCTGTCCTTGGCAGCTTCTCAAGGACAGCAACCAGTTTACGACCTACCTGTCAGCCTACAGTGTGTTTCTGAGCTCAATCGCTGGTGTAATGGTTTCTGATTACTACATCGTGCGCAAGGGTTACGTTGAGACTAAGGAACTCTACGATGCTCGAAAAGAAGGACCGTATTACTTCACAGGTGGTTTCAACTGGCGTGGCTATGTTGCTTACATCGCCGGAATTGTCATAAACGTGGTCGGTTTCGCCGATGCTGTCGGCGCCAAGAACGTTCCTCAGGGTGCGATCTATATTTATCAGTTCAACTACTTCTGTGGTTTCATCGTTTC